AGTCACCCATGGTACAGCATCACTCAGGCGGCAGACGCAGTGGGTGCAGACACTCCCACTAATAAACGAAGTTCATCCCGCTCTGTCAGTCCTGCAAGCACCAAGAGCAAGAAACGGCCTGCACCTCGTGCTCCTCGGCCACCCACCGGTAACCAAGGTCGGTTTTATCAGAACCACAAACACCAACAGCATCCCCTTTGTGCTTTACAAATATCAAACAGTAACTTAACTATTTGATGTTTTATCAAATGTTTGTAAAGAAATTACAGAAAGAAACATTATAGGTCATTTTCTTTAGTGCCACCTGATTCAGTGGGTTTCTAAACTCGGTGTAAACAGCTGAGAAATTTGAAGTTTATAGATGAAAACACCAATATGACTGTGCAGTTAAACTGTATGAAAGCAGAGTCCCTTATGAAACATGGCTGTGCTGAAAATTATGCACTAGGATTGACTTTTTCAGGGGGCATACTCTTACGTTTACGTCACTTATCCATATTTTTGTAATTTATCAGTACGTGACTCATCGTGAATGAGGTCATTTCACCATGGAAATGTGCTTCTAACTTGTAACACAGCTCTCAGGAAGTGATTGATGATGAGCTAACTAGTGTGTCTGAAAAAGATCTAAATATGCTGAACAATAGTAGAGACACTGAACACACAGTGCATGGTACGGGATTTTCATAGTAACATAAGGGTCACCATTCAGAGCCATCCTGGTAATGTATTCAGCAGATATTTGCAACTACTGACAAAGTGTTTGTTGTTGATTGGCTCTGCAAGGGGTGCAAGCACTATTGTGCAACAGAATTTTCTCTCCGTTTATTTGTTCACTCTCTATTTATGTCTCTAGTTAAACTGCCAGGTATATGGAGTTGCATGTAACAGGACAAAAGTAAATTCAAATTTGATTTTCAGTTGCGAAGCCTGATCGTCATTGATCAAGACTGAAGTTTACAAGTTTACAACCCAGTGATTTATAATATTGTGTTTTTACTTTCCATTTTATCCATTTAATAGATAAAAAGCACATTTGTCCAACTTTGAGCATCCAAATCTTCAAAATGTGTGCAGTATAGATGTGTGAAGTGTGTGTGCTGTTGTTAGTCACTTTAATCCTAGATTAGTTTGTCTGATGTAAAATTAAACAACCTCTAATTTAACAGACAAGTTGTCACTTCAAAAGAGGTGAGCGGAAACGATGTACACAGCTGATAAAAATAGTAATAATAAAAAAAATTATTCTAAAGAGTCACAGACTAAAAATAGTTGAAAAGAGATGTGTTGCTAATAGATGCTAAAAATAATAATGTGTTTTCTTTCCCCTTATCCTCTTTTTATTCCAACATTTCAAACTACTTTTTATTCCTCTTGAATTTCTTCTGTCCCTGCTGTTTTTTAAATTTCTTCAAAACCTCTTCTCTTCTTCAGTTCTCTCTCATTCTCAGTCCTCCTCTTGCTCCCCCTCTCCAGCTCTCAGTACAGAGAGTTTGTCTTCAGGCTCAGACTACAGCTCCTCTCAGCTCCCTTTGGCTGGCGGTGGCAGCAGCGACCAGGAACACAACTTCACCAAAAGCATCTCCGAGCCTTCCATCTGCTCACCGAACGACTCCAAGCCTTCCCCTTCTTCCTCCTCGACTGAGCATCTCCGTCAGCCCTCTCCAAGCCCCGCCCCTTCTCCAGTACCAGCAAATGCCAGCTCAGCTCCAGCCACTCCACAGACCAGTCGCAACCCAGTGACCAAGGCTCCTCGACCTCCACCACCAAGACCCAGCAACCCCAGCCCACTGGCCTCAGAGGCCACCCAGTCACAAAACAAGGTAATGGCGCCACCTCCAAACAGAAGACAATTTATATATCAATACACTTTGCACATACTAAAAATCCAGCCACATCTTTTCTCCTTTTAGCGGATATGTAAAGAGAACCCCTTCAACCGAAAAGCTTCGCCCTCTCCTGCTAATTCTAAAACCAGACCGCCAAAAGGCCCCCGTCCTGCTAGACCCCCAGCTCCCGGTCATGGCTTCCCACTTATTAAACGCAAGGTAAATAACCCCCCAAAATAAAAACGGACTAATTAAAAACAGAAATAAACCCGACAGAAATGACATCATCACTTAAGAGTAAAACAGATGAAGCAGTAGTCATGTGATTCAAACATCCTTCCAGGTGCAGTCAGATCAATACATCCCAGTTGAGGACATCCATGGGGAGATGAGTCAGCTGGAGAAGCAGCTGGATGAGCTGGAGCAGAGGGGAGTGGAGCTGGAGAAGAAGCTCAGAGACAATCCAAACGGTATCACATTACAGCACTTTAAGTCCAGTGAAGACCAGCTTTCTGTTCTTTTTGTTGTTGTTTTTTTAAATAGTCATTTCTAAGTAATAAAAGCAAATCTGCTTCTCTGTCAGAAATGACAGGAGTACTAATATTTGTTATTCACCCTTTCTTCATTTAGATGAAGATGAGGAGCACTTGTTGGTGGACTGGTTCACCCTAATTCATGATAAACACCTCCTAGTCCGACGGGAAGCTGAGCTGGTCTACACGTAAGATATAAATTTTACAGTTTTGGAACATCATTGCTGGTTTTATTATTACATATAAACCCTGTAGACAGATGCTCAGAATAGTAAGCGTGAAGTTATATTTTCGAACTTATTGTTGCTTAATGTGTTGCTCTCTGCAGGGCGAAGCAGCAGAACCTGGAGGAGAGGCAGGCTGATGTAGAGTACGAGTTGAGGTGTCTTCTCAACAAACCAGGTATTTGAGACATTTCCATCTGTCCTCAGTCAATATCTTTTCTCTCCTAGTATCCTCTGTATAATAACTGGGTTAGAACGTTATCCAGACTGGCCTTTCTCACATGTACAGGAAGGTAAAAACCATTAAATGCCCAATCCAGTTTCATTTCAGTGGCTCCCAGTAACTATATTCTGTAAAATTGTTTACATTATTGAAGTACTCAAAGTACATTAAAAAAATCAATCTTCAGTTTGAATTATTAAGAATCTCTTGGTTAGTTTGTGCAATGAATGAAATGTCAGTATCTCCAGCACTCCTAGACTTATTAATCAGGACTCCCTGCTGACCTGACAGGATGGTGGATGTGCATTTAGTTTATAGTGAATGCTGCTCTGCTTTTGCATCAATAATTTATAAACCTTGTGAACACCTACAAAGTGTATTTCATTGAAATAAAATAACAGATTAAATTATTAATCATGCTCTGCTTCTTCCATTTCTTCTTTCCTCTCATCAGAGAAAGACTGGACCGAGGATGACAAGAGTCGGGAGCAGGAGCTGATGGCTGAGCTGGTTACCATCATTGAACAGCGCAACCAAATAGTGAACAGCATGGACGAGGACAGGCAGAGGTAATCGAGTACAGACAGTTCATGTGCATCTGTGTTGTGTAGAGACTGGCAGGAGTCTAACTGTGGTTCTGTCACAGGGAGGAAGAGGAGGACAAACTTATGGAAGAGATGCTGAAGAAAAAAGGTGCGATGATGTTTCATTAGATTCATGAAGGCACTCTTTTTCCTTCCTTTAAATTTTTAAAGCAGTTTTATTTCTTATTTTAATCCTCAGACTTTCAGAAGGATCCAGACAGCGATCACCAGAAGAAAAAAGGGGCAAAGTTTAAACCCATCAAAGTGCTCAAGCGTCTGAGCCATAAAGGAGAACCGGGAAAGAGTCCCAGCCCGCGTAAGGAGAAGAGCTGAACAGCAGAGGACACGTCTAGTTCAAGAGGATATTTGAAGGACTACTATTTTAAGAAGACTAAAGAATTTTGATAGAAGATTATGACGTCTCCTCAAACAGTTTTTAAGCACTTCACAAGTCACCCAGACTCATTCAGTGACTATTTTCAGTTGCCTTTTAGTGTCTGACAGCAAGTGCTTTAAAAAGTTTAGGCTCTGAATATTCAAACTAGTGACATGTTGGGTGGGTTTGTGTATTACTGCACTGATTACTTTTTGCTTTAACATCCCTGCATTGCACAGCGACTCTGCTCTATAGGCCTTCAGCAAAGATGTGATTTGTCAGCTTACGTTGATCACTGATATCCTTGAGTTTTTAATGTTTTTAGTTTTACTTACACCCTCTCGAGTAGTGGTCTCCTTTGCTCCTTCAAAGGCGCACGTAATTGAGGTTTTATGTCATGTTTGGGTTGAGCCCATGGTACTAGTAGCAATAAGTTTGTGTTTTTTGTTGTTGTTGTTTTTTTCCAGATGAAACTTGCTTGAAACTGCAGCATCTACTCTTGAAAAGCTCAATCAAAGACTTCTAGCTGCTATATATACACATATATTTTATTTGTGTTTGTGTGTATTTTAGTTTCTTCAGTAGTAGTTTTACAATTGTGTTGGTGCTTGTCATCAAAGCATTACACAAACGTAGATATAGTATTTATAAGTGGGTTAGACTGGAGGAGAAATTAGACGAGTAACGACCTGCAGACGAAAAACAAACTGCCGGTTAGTTTTAAACGGGACTTATTCATTTTCCAAGGAAAAGCAGGATAGGTGTCCTTTTATTATGGAAGGTAACAGATGCAATATTGAATTTCAAAAGAAGAAAATATACAGTATTTTATCAACTGTAGCAAAAGCCCAGTTTATAACGGTTTTAACTATCGAAGGATGGACCTGAGGTATACAATCATTAATTTATATTTAACTATGCCTTTTTGTGCGTGTGTGTTTTGCCTTATAGTTTATATCGAGTGCCATTTATTTTATTGCATACATCGTTAGTTCGAGCTAATGTAAACGTGTTTACTCATTCTGTTCGTTTTTTCGTCTCTTAGATGATGTATTTGTCTTGTGTGGCTGTGTCTGTTGTCTGTTTCTGCTCTGTGCCTAACTTCCTGTCCAGCTGAAACAAAGGGCTTCTGTGCCACCACATTTTTGTCATCTTGTACATTGTCCTAAAACAGCAGGACTGTGTGAAATACTGACACTGGGAGGCAGAGGAATAAAAGAAATTCACACAGTTGGGTAGATGTGTGTTGTATTTACTGGCGTGCGCGTGTGACTCTGCTCTGACTGAAGGTATGTCTCTTGCTTGAAGAGAAGCAGACCGCCCGGTCAAAGACAACAGTCAGTCTTCTTTGTTGGCTGCATTTTCTGTCCTCTCTGTGTTTGTATCAGATGTGGGAACGTGGGATTTTTCCATTATCTCCAATTCTCGTAATTTCTGTTATTAGAGCCAGGATACATTTAAGTGAATCTGGTCACATCTACTAAATGAACATAATAGTGGCTCAAAGCACGTTTACCTGAGATATCTCAGTGTTGATGATGTCGATATAATCTTTCTCCTGACCCAGGGAGGCCATGTCTTCCAGAAACTGTCGTCTTTCCTGTATTTCATTCAGAACTGCAGGAAAAACAGAACGTGTTCTTACTCTGAGGGTCAGTGAGCACATTGAACTTGTCATGACGCTCAGAAAATATTCCCTGAAAAAAAAAAAAAAGAAATTTCCGTTTTTCAAATGTATCTTTTGTTGCACTAAAATCACCCCAAGGTTCCACCCCCAAAATTGGGGGTTAAACTGTCCCTTTAAGATTCAAATATGATGCTGGTGTAACCGCTCCACCTCATTGTTTTGCTCTGCAGTCAGCCTCACCTTCCTGATAGCGATCCATCTTTGGTATTTCTGAGCTCTCATGTTGAGGAGGCTTCTGAGAAGATCCCGCTCCGGGCTGCTCGGTCCCATGTGCAAAGATGTTCTGAAGCTTCCTCTTCTCTTTCTCTAGGTCTCCTTGGGTGACATGAAGAAAAAGTTCCGCAAAACAGAGCCTGACTTTTTCTCAGAGTGCAGAAAATGGAATAAATGAAGAAGAAAAGGAAAGAAATGGGGGGAATTGAAGTGATCAATGACATGCAATATACACATAAACTGAAATTTATGTCAGTTTCAAGAACGTACGTGTCGGACCAGGACAAAACTTTTCTCTCTCGTAGCTGTTCCCAGACCGACATGCCTCGGCGGTGCGTTTCTGAGTGTGCACTGGCCAGTGTTTCTGGACAGATTTACCAGGAGGAGAAGACTGTGCCGGATCAGAGGTGAAAGGCAAAGCTGTTTCATCTGAAGGAGAAAATTTTACAACAGCGAAAGTTTTTTGTTTACAAAAAATGAAGCGTTGCTAATTGTGGGTGCTTTTTTTCAAACCCCATATTTGAAGTGTGGGACTCTTCCCGACAAGCTTTGCATGATTCACAGTTTAAAGAAACTTTGTGAACAGTGCCTGGGCTAGGCCGAGGTTCTCGATCATTTGACGGGGTACAGAGTATAGACATAGCTTCTCCACACTAGAAGGAGTCAGCTGAGGAAGGTTGGGGATCTGAATAGGACGGAGAGGTGTTTTGGTAGTGTCTGGGAAGAGACCCGGAACAGACAAGCTATGGACATTGTGTCACTTGGCTTACCAGGGAATGCCTTGGAATAAGAGGTAGTGGCTGGGAGGAGGGAGATCTGGGCATCTCTGCCTAGATCACTGTCCCTCCAATCCAGACCCTGGGTGTCTGCTCCTTACAAACAGATTTGAACAGCAGGTGGGAGTTACAACGTGAACCACATAATTTAGGCAACCATATCAGGTACACCTGCTCTCAGGACATCATGCCCGAGTGTTAAATCAATCTGAAGTCCAATAGTAACAGTATATGGCACCATAAGGGCCAAAATCATGATGGTATTTAGCAATAGGTCATATGTACGGAGTGGAATATTGTTATTAACTTCTAAAATTTTGACTTCTGGTACAGCTATATCTTAAGTATAAATATAAGAAAATACACCATGAGACAGTATCAGACCTTTAACAAACTTACTCTTTGGCTGATTGTTGGTCTGTTTTCTCTTGAGGTTGGTGACCCTTGATTCCTGCTTCAACACTGAGCACGGAAACAGAACAATAAGAGTACACAGCACAGGCCTCAGCAACGGTAAATGAAACACAGACACAGCTCTATAGCGGGATCATAAATCCTGAGACCATGCTGAAAATCTCTCATATCTTTATAAAATTTGAGGACATGCAAAATGAAGAACAAATGTTCTGACCACGAAAAGCTCACGTGGTGTGTTTACAGGACTGACAATGACACCGAAGTGCCTCACACTCAGAGTGAAAGGCGCTGGTGGGTATATTTAAATCTGGAAACCCCAACTTCCCTCTGACCCAGGACAATTTATCTGAGGTTTTAACTTCAACATGCCTGAAACCTTTGGAAGAACTGCTTGAAGACGTAAGTAATCCAAAACTATCAACACATCAAGGTTGAACAAAGCTGGGCAGTCTGTGGCGGGCTGATTCCAGCCTGTCAACACTGTATTTCTAATTCAAACTGCTGCACTGATATCATCATGTACGCATGCTAGAATATGCTAGAGCAAAATGTAAGGTTTTTATTAATGTTTCTTTAGTGAGCTCAGATTTTTTGAAGCGTAGCTTACATCTCAGCATGTCCTGGTTCTCCTTGTTTAACTGTGTGGCTCTGGGGCTGTTCCACAATCCCCTGCTAGCTGAAGCCTGTGAGGAAGTTTCCATCTGCAAACTAAAACACACAAATTACAACCCAGAATACCATTGTTTTAGTTCAATTTATGATGCTGTTATTCCTGAATTTAACGTGAACTTCATCGCTGTGATCTATGAATGACTTCAGCACGACCTGGCTTCGGAAAAAAACGTTAATCTACAAGACAAATATCGTAACTAAATATTATATTAATAATCTAATATTAAACACTAATAACATTATTAAAGCGTACCTCGTTGGTTTTTAAGGAAAGGCCAGTCTTTAAAAAAGGAGACCAACTTCAAACTCAGGAAGACGGCAGTGACACTATGTTGCTATAGCAACTAAATAACAGAAGCCCTGTTTTAACTCACTGAAATATGTTTAAAAAAGAAAAAAGAAAAAAAAGAGGGAAAGACAGAAAATAATTACTATAAAACTTTTAGTAATTAAAATCTTTTTTAAAATCTTTTTTTTAAAAGATATTTTACGCTTACCAATTGTTTCAAGACAGTGGTGCAGTGTCAACTATGGCCACTAGAGGGAGACAGATTATTATTTTTATTACCGTTTTAATGGCTTCCATCAGTTATTGATTTTATTTTCATCATTTATTTTAGTTTTGTCACCAAGAGTCTATTAAACATTTTTTTATTCAGTTAAAAAAATATATACAGAGAGGAAGTCAGGAATTACTAGAAGTGCCAGCTAGAAAATAAAATAGCTAAATACTATTTTTATAGAACAAAAAACTCATATGGATCCCTAAGATATTGACATTATATCATTAAAACTACAAGGGATTTAAAAAAATAATCAAGAGTAACGCAAACTAATTACCAATCGTGAGACTCAGGATGAACAAATGCATTTTCAGTCAATGCCTTTGAAAGTGACAAATAAACAGCCTAAATTGAACTTGTTTAATAGAATAGAATGGCCCTTTATTGTCATTGTACATGTACGATTCAATGTGTCTATAAAGCAGTCGATCATTGCAGCTTTCAACCTGCATAGTGAATGTCTTATGTGTCGTCGTCACTCTGAAGACTCTCAAGAGAGAGTCTTTATCAGTGGCAGGCAAGTCATCGGGGGTCAGCAGCAGTCAGGGCATCATTATCTGTGGAAATACAGCAGCCTGCATTTGCTGAATGTCTGCAGATAAACAGCAGCCAGAATATAATCACCTTTCACACATAGGTCTTCTCAGAAGTCACACGTCCTCGCTGGGAATACAGACACAACCTGTGTGCACAAGTGTGTTAAACTGTAAGCAGCAAAAACAGAAGAGGTTCACTTTCTGCTGTAGAGTCAAACAATTAAAATTACTACATATCCATTATTTGTTTTAGTATATGTTTATATGCCAGTCACCTGTTTTTAGGTATTTACACAATCATATTAAAAGTATGCACGCTGCTTTTTCAAATCATGTATGCTTTCTTTTTTCAATTAACATGTCTATTAACATTAAACGTGCATAAAACGTCCCTGTACGTGTGCCCACACAGTTTGGACTTTGTGCCAAAGCGTGCTTAAATAGATAGCGGCCTTTCATCTGATAACAGCCAATGATCTGTTTACTTGTGAATGAAAAATAACCGAGTGTGCGCCATTTGTCTACAGGCTTAATTTTACTGCACTTTAAAGGCATTTGTGTAGACATTCAAAAGTATGGATGGTAGTTCAGTAAACTTAGAAGATGTTTTCAGCATTATTTATCCCCTTTTTTATTTATTTGCAACAATTTGCAGTGACTGTTACTATCTAATTATCGTGATTTTATTATTTTTTGTATCATTTTAAAACTACTCGTTCAGTTTTGATGGAGCAGCTGTTTAATCCTGTTATGGCTAGTGTATCATATTTGATACATTTTAACTCTACATCATTAGCATGATTTTGTTTCCCTGAAATACCTGATGTACACTGTCAGACACATGCAGTGCTACAAAAATGCCAAATGATACAAATTAAAACTCACATACGCAAATTTATATGCATTTATTAATTTATTGTTTAATTTTGTAAAACAGTTTCCCCTTTTCCTTTTTTGACATATTCTACTTACAAAATAAAAGTGACAAACCAAAAATGTTTCTTTTGTGTTTAATGCGTAAACAGTTAACAACTATTGCTTTAATCCTCATCATCATTTGACTCCCTGTGAAGCCTTAAAAATGTGTGTGTTGCTATTTGATCCCAACTTTTTCCTCTGTGAACTAAACATCTGTAAAAACATACTTTAAGAATTTTAAAAACATGAGTGTAAAATGATTGTTCAGCATAAACACGTCAGTGACCATTTCACTGATAATGATTCATCAAATTTTAGCTTTTAATTGGAGCATAAGCGAAGGTTCTTTGGTCTTTCCTCATATGTAAAAGGTGAGAGGACAGCCTGACGCTCAATGTTTTTTCAGGTTTTATTGCTCTGAATCCCACACAACAGGAAGACAGTGTGCTGAGGTCAGATAGTAGAGTTTCTTAGGGTTTATAAATGACCGGTCTTAAAGGAACCAGTGAAGTAATTTACACGTATGCTCCACCTCCTAACGGTCGAAACCTACATGAAAACGAGAGATTTGAAGTTAGACCTGCAGCTGACAGAGATAGACAAGAGAGAGGAGGGCGAGATAGCAGGCAAGCAATGACGAAAAGGAGGCAGCTCTGTGTGGCCTGTTTGCACTGAGTGGACTGTAACTGGGATGAGAGGCCTGGTGAGCTGGAGTCTGACTTCCTGTTAGCTGAGGGTGAGGTGGGCATGTAAAAAAAAACAACAAAAAACAGAAGTATCCAAAAGAAAAGAGAAACTTTCCTGTTCTTGTTACACCCGTTGCCATATCAGACTGCTTGATGGCTGTTACCCAAGCTGTGCTCCCTTCCTTCAGCTCCTTCTCCAACCTCTCTCACTCCACTGACAATATGAAAGTAAGTAGCATGTTCACTTCAAATACTTGATTCTTTCAGCGAAATATAGTGACTCACCTTTCATGTAGTGTGACCATTTAATATTTATGTGTCTGCTTTTACTACAAAAGTGACGGAATAATGCTCAAAATTAAACTGCTACAAAAATGACTTGTAAGTTTTTTATTTGTTCTAAAGGGCTCTAAAAATATACTGCATACAGTTTCAAGATGAAGTTAAATGAAATTTTATTTACACTTGGTAGCTTTTTGTAAAATTTTGCTGTTGTTCCAATTGAGTTTACTTATTGTATTGTGGATTGTGCTGCTTTATATGAAAAAGCAATGAAATCACAATGTAAAGAAAGTTGGCAGGGAGCAAAACTGTTGGCTTAATAAATAATTTATTGAATATCTTTAACGATTTGTTTTTGTTTTTGTTTGATTCATGTGTGTGTGTGCGAGCCGCCTGTATTTCTTCCGTGGGTGGGCATTAATGAATTTTTTTTTTTTTTTTTTTTGGCATTTTGAAAACCAAAATTTCTTTTTTGTTGAAGGAACTTAACTTAATTTAATTCGTTATTAAGGACCGTTGCTTTTGCAAGTTTTGAAGTTTTTCCATTGGATTACCGTTCTTTATTATTTCAATTTTTTACCGGACCTCGGGGTTGGAATTTTCCCTAAGATAGAAGTATGTTGAGACGGAAGCTGTTCTTTTTATACAGAACTAAAAATAATATTGTTGAAGTTCAAAAATACTCTACACTTGAGGATTTGTGGCTTTGCAGATCCACTGTAATGTACATGTGATAACAAAAGTCTGTCTGTACATAGAAAAACTGAGACATTTTATTGAAATTGCACATAGTTTTCTCAAACCATCTCACAGTGGTTATTACGCAACAGTTTTACTGGTCTGGTCTGTTTTAAATCAGATTAGGTGCTTTGTGGCCCTAAGCAAGAAGCTTGACTCACTGGTGCAAATGCTAGGAAAATCTACTCATTCGATGAAATTCAGCTGAATTTATTATGGGCTTATATTATTATTTGGTTATTCTGAGGTAGACAAGATAAGTAATTTAGTTTGTTTGTATATTTGGAAAATACCCTCTGTGAACATTTAAGGATGTTCTTGATTTTCATGATCTTAAAATTCTCTCCAACAGGTGTGTAAGTCAGATGGGTCTCTCCCTTTGGACTCCCCAAACACTAAACTGTCACCAAAGAGCTCTGAGCAACTGCAGGTCTCTGAACAAATGGCAGAGGAGCTCCTGGATGATGACAGCCAAGCATCATGGGACATTGAGTTTCTGCTGTCAGAGTGGAGCAGCCCTTCCCCCGACCCCAGCCCCTCTCTCAACAACAGCAACCAACTGCTTCCGCAGTTTGACCCAAACACTGCATACCAAGAGACGAGTGTGCTTAAGGACCCATCAGGACAGGAGAGTCTGCAGATGAACAGCGGCAGCCTCATGACTGAGCTCATGTCCCCTGCTGAAACCACCGTCCAGCCAGAGCTGTACCAGCGTAGTTTTAATGACGATCAAACAGGTCGAACTTTATTTTCTAATGTGCATAACGTGAATCAGTTTGACTTCTCCCAAGGAGGAAGTGTTGAAAGACACAGCAGAGGAAGCCTCAGTAAGGTTGCATCATGGGACTTCAACCCCTACTATCACCACCACCAACAGCAGCAGCAGCCTCCCATGGTGGCCATCCCTGAAAACAGGTTCATCCGACCTCAGCCTGTGACCCCTGACCCTCGACACTACCGCTACTTGCCCCACTTTAACCACACTGCCAGCCTTTACTGTGACTACAACCACAGCCAGGGGCATTTGCCCCTGCACCAGCAGCCTCTGCTGGTTGGACAACAGGTGCCCCCTAGTGGGTTGGAAGGGAAGCGTGGCAGAAGAGCTACGGGGAAAAAGAGACCAGCCATCCACAGCTGTGAATACCCCGGCTGCAGCAAGACCTACACCAAGAGCTCGCACCTCAAGGCTCACCTCCGCACCCACACAGGTAACCAACAACAGAAACAACTGTGATCTTAACTCATGGTTTAAGTGATACTTTTTTTTTAAACTGCTATCTGCTTTATTATCTTTTATCAGGTGAAAAGCCTTACCACTGTTCATGGGAGGGCTGCAGCTGGAAATTTGCCCGCTCGGATGAGCTGACACGTCACTACCGCAAGCACACGGGTCAGAAACCGTACCAGTGTATGCTCTGTCAGAGAGCCTTCTCTCGCTCAGACCACCTGGCTCTGCACATGAAGAGACACAACTAACGCTCTCGCATATACCCAAATCTGCACCTCTGCCATTATAAGACATTTTAATTTTGTCTGAATGTAGGACCTCAAAAGTCATCTGGTGTAGATGTTTTTGGTATACTTACAAAACAAATGAGATAGGTCTAACTCAAAATCTAATT